AGTGAGTCGAGATGGTGCCACTGCACTCCAGCCTGGGCAACAGAGCAAGACTCTGTCTCAAAAAAAAAAAAAAAAAAAAGAAAAAAGAAAAGAAAAAGAAAAAAGAAATTAGTCAATGAAGAGTTAAAAACACCAAACGGAAGTGGTTTAAGTTCTTCCTTACAGCTCAAGTGATTCTGTTTGTGACAACTAAAGACCCAGAGGTTCCATTTGATGTGTTAGTAGATAATATACCTTAAAATCTACAACCATTTAAAAATTGGGTCAAAGATACGTATTTAAAGCCACCAAAGTTGTCAAAAATAAACCTCACAAAACCTCATTATTTCTACCCATGTTAGGTCAGCTAGTGAAAGGAAAATGAAAGGTAATGGCTAAGAATTACCTTTCCAAATGGCTCAGTCAAAGCCATTTGGAAATTTGCCAGTCCAAGGACCAACCCAAAAGAAACCTCAAATATAATCTTTTTGTACAAAGAAAAGACACACCACAGGCATTATTAAAATGTGAGAACTGGTGGAACCACTTCGATACTGGTCAAAAATCATGAGAATAAAATATTTTCAAATATCCTAGAGAAAGACATGTATTAATTATAAGTTAAACACTGTATCAATCTTTGTTGCAATTCTTAATGAGTGTTTTTATCTGAGTTCGTTTTTATTAAATTTCCCTTGGGAGAGGAATGGCGGATTTACAGATCTTTTACTAGAGCCCATTTATTATGGGCGATTTGCTAAGGCCATAAATTTTGCAGCTGAATGACAATAGCGTGGGGGGAGTAGAGCAAGCAGTGGATTGAAGCTGGGAAAGAGGGCAGGACTAAAGGTGGCTTGCCCAGAAAACAGTTTTTACATTTTGATATAGCCCCAAATGACCTGGGTTAAAAGTACCATGTTAACATGTCCTTTGAATGAAAACAGCCACATCAAAATGGACTGCTTCACTCAGATGTCTATCATAACACTCACTCAGGTTCAAAAATTTATGATTCACAGGCTTAACAATAAACACACAGCTTTAGCTCCTTCTGAAGACCTGAAAGGCCATGGATTGGAATCCTGAGTTGTGAGGCCAGTTTCCTGAACCAAGATTCAGAGCTAGCCAGTGAACCTAGCAGAAGGCCCAGTGTTCAATTCCCACTGAAGTTTGGCGTTCTCAATTCCTGTAACTGCCCAAGGGGTTCACCTTGCCTGCTGCCTACACAGACTCGATTAATCAAGACAGGGGAATTGCAATAGAGAAAGAGCAATTTACGCAAAGCAGGCTGTGTGGGAAACCAGAGTTTTATTATTACTCAAATCAGTCTCCCCGAGCATTTGGGGAGCAGAGTTTTTAAGGATAACTTGGTGGGCAGGGGGAGGTCAGTGGAGCCAGGAGTGCTGATTGGTCAGAGATGAAATCACAGGGAGTTGAAACTGTCTTCTTGTGCTGAGTCAGTTCCCGGGTCGGGGGCCACACGATCAGATGAGCCAGTTTACTGATTTGGGTGGGGCCAGATGATCCATCAAGTGCAGGGTCTGCAAAATATCTCAAGTACAGATCTTGGGGGCCGTTCAGGGAGGGTCAGAATCTTGTCACCTCCAGCTGCATGACTCCTAAACCATAATTCCTAATCTTGTGGCTAGTCCTACAAACACAGTCTAGTCCCCAGGCAAGAAGAAGGTCTGCTTTGGGAAGGACCGTTACTGTCTTTGTTTAAACTATAAACTAAGTTTATCCCAAAGTTAATTCAGCCTACGCCCAGGAATGAACAAGGACAGCTTGGAGGTTAGAAGCAAGTGGAGTCAATTAAGTTAAATCTCTTTCATTGTCTCAGTCATTTTGCAAAGGCGGTTTCATTCCCATCGCTTAGCAGGTAACTCCACTTAAGTGATAAAAACAGTGTTTTATATTTTGTTTCGCTCGCGCGCGCGCGTGTGTGTGTGTGTGCAATACATGGAAATAAAACGTTAATGAAATTTTCAAAAGACAGTTAATTGGTAATAGGGCATGGGGGGTGAATATAGGAAATACCAGTGTCTTGTTAGGAATGGGATGCCAGAAGTGAGGCGCCTACACATCTAAGTTCATTACATTGGTGGTTCAGGAAAGTTTTAGGAAGGGTAATAAAAATGGCTGGTTTTCCTTTCATCTGTAGTATTACAAGCCTAAGTATTTTTCTGAGCACGAGACTGAGCAGAGGAAAGACCACTTTTCCCACGTGTCCCTGGAGCTACTTACGGTTCTGTAATTAACTTGTGCCCAGTGGGAGGTGGGAGTAAGCTGTGTCCAACTTGGGGAGGGGGCGTGTTCTCCTCTGCCCCTTCCCACTGGCTGGAATGTGGACACATGGTGAGGCATCCTGGACCAGGTGGGCCACAGAACTCCGGTGTGACCAAGAGCAACAAGGAAGAAGACTGTGAAACGGCCTTTGCAAAATTATGACTGAGACCGTGAAAGAGCTCTAACTTAACCAATGCCATCTTGCTTCTAATCTCCAAGCTGTCCTTGTTTTTTCCTGGGCGCAGGCTGAACTAACTTTGGGGGAAACTCAGTTTATAGTTTATAGTTTAAAACAAAGACAGTAACAGCCCTTTCCCAAAGCAGACCTCCTTTTTGCCTGGGGACTAGACTGCCTTTGTAGGACTAATATTAGCCACGAGATTAGAAATTACGGTTTAGGAGTCACGCAACTGGAGGCTACAAGATTATGACCCTCCCTAAACTGCTGCTAAGGTCAGTACTTGAGACACTTTGCAAATGCTGCACTTGATGGATAGGGGGGCACCACCCAGATCAATAAACTGCCTCATTTGATCCTGTGGCCCCGGCCCAGGAACTGACTCAGTGCAAGCCAGCTTTGACTCACTATGATTCCACCTCTGACCAATCAGCACTCCCGGCTCACTGGCTTCCCCCAACCCACCAAATTGTCCTTAAAAACTCTGCTCCCCAAATGCTCGGGAGACTGATTTGAGTAATAATAAAACTCTGGTCTCCCACACAGCTGGCTCTGCGTGAATTACTCTTTCTCTGTTGCAGTTCCCGACTTGATAAAGATAAATCAGCTCTCTCTAGGCAGCAGGCAAGGTGAACCCAATTGGGTAGTTACAATTGGACCACTGACAACCTCGGAGCTACAGCTGCTATACCAGCCCAGACTTTTACACTTGAGATAAATTAACTCTCTTTTTTATTTATATGTAGTCATTGTATATGTTTATGGGGTACATGTGATATTTTGAAACATGCATCCACCGTGTAGTGATCAAATCAGGGTCTTTAAGATATTCATCACTTCAAACATTTATCATTTCTTTGTGTTGGAAACATTTCAAATCTAGCTGATTTGAAATATGCAATAAATTACTGTTCACTATAGTCATTCTATTGTGCTATCAAACGAGAACTTATTTCTTCTACATAACTATATGTTTGTACTCATTAACCAACCCCACTTTATCCTCCTCTCCACTCTTTCCAGCCTCTAGTTACCATCATTCTACTCTCTACCTCCACAAGTTCAACATTTTAGCTCCCAGAAATGAGTGAGAACATGCAATATTTATCTTCGTGTACCTGGCTTATTTCACTTAACATAATAACTTCCAGTTCCATCCATGTTGTTGCAAATGACAGGATTTAATTTTTTTTATGGATTAAGAGTATTCTCTTGTGTATGATCTCCTCTTTTGTTTAAGCCTCTGTTAGCCTGGGTTCCTGATGACATATCTGGACCTGTGTCCTAATTAACACTGTAGGTAAAGCAAGGATCTATGATCGTTTCCATCTTGTCTCTGTTATGAGGCTGTGAGCTCCTTATGACAATCCCTCCCTACATTTCTTCCAGTTCCTCATGGTAGGCCCAGCACTATCCTAGGCCTTGGACCAGAATAGACCCTTGGGGAGGCTTATTGGATGAATGGATGAATGAATGTATCAGTGTGTTGGGAGCTGGGAGAGATGCATCAGAAAAGCAGTGGGATGAGAGTCACATACCCCATACCCTTGTTGGAATTTGTGTTTGGCTGCTTGTAACAGAAAACCCTAATTTTGGTTAATGACTTAACCAAATAGTGATTCATTTTCCTCAAATGGTAAGGGTCCAGGGGTGGGTGGTTTCTGAATTGGGTTTGGTGCACTTTGCGGGGGTGGTCAAGCCTAAGTTTCTGCCATTTACTTGGCCTCTTCCTCATGGTCACAAGAGGGCAGCCAAAATCTGACAGTTACATCTCTGTCCCAGGGAAGGGGAAGGAGGCAGCAGGAAGAAGGCAAAAGGGGAAGTCAGCCAAGTCTGTCCCCTCTTAAAGGGCTCAGGCTGCTCCTGCCTTTTGCAGGGCCCACAATAAGAGTACAAGGCTGGGTGCGGTGGCTCATGCCTGTAATCCCAGCACTTCGGAAGGCTGAGGCGGGCAGAACACAAGGTCAGGAGATTGAGACCAACCTGGAACGTAGTGAAACCCTGTCTCTACTAAAAATATAAAAATTAGCTGGGCATGGTGGCACATGCCTGTAGTCCCAGCTACTCGGGAGGCTGAGGCAGGAGAATCGCTTGAACCCAGGAGGCGGAGGTTGTAGTAAGCTGAGATCACACCACTGCACTCCAGCCTGGGCTACAGAAAGAGACTCTGTCTCTCAATAATAAAAAAAAAAAGAGTACAAAGGGAGGTCTAGCTACTGTATGTTTATGTATTTAAAAGTTATAATTCAAGCCAACAGGCTACTAAGTAATATATGTTTATCTTCCTACCCTCAAAATGACAAAGGCAAAAACATGTCAAGCTATACTTTTTTTCTCTTGCGCCCAAATTCGATGTGGAATTGAGCTATAGTTTTTCTATGATTGGAAGCCACGAAGCACCAAAGACAATTGAATTTAATTATGACTGAATATATCTGGGATTCTGTTGATGAGCTGGCAAAGTCTGAATGAGACCAAGGTATTATAATAAAACCAAGGTATACATAATTCAAAAGTCATGATGTATTTATTCCATACATTATTTTTCTATCATCTGAGCAAAATTCAATAATTATGTTAATATCAACATTTTCACAAACTTGTCTTCTGTTGACAGTAATGCTCTAAAGCAGGGGTCCCCAAGCCCCAAGGTGCAGACCAGCTCTCTGCTAGGAACTGGGGCGCATAGCAGGAGGTGAGCGGCAGGTGAGCAAGCATTACCGCATGAGCCCCACCTCTCGTCAGATCAGCTGAGGCATTACAGTCTCGTAGGCAAGGGAACCTTATCCTGAACAGGGCATGCGAGGGATCTAGGTTGCATGAGAATCTAATGCCTGATGAGGTGGAACAGTTTCATCCTGAAACGATTCCCCCACAACCATGGTCTACGGAAAAATTATCTTTCAGGAAACCTGTCCCGGGTGCCAAAAAGGTTGGGGACTGTTTGTCTAAAGCAAGGATTGGTCAACCATAACCTGCAGTCCAGTCAACTGTTTTTTGTTTAAAACATTTTAAAGGAACACAATCATGCTCCATCTTTTACATGTTGTCCGTGGCTGTCTTCATGTTACAGTGGCAGAGCTGAGTAGCTGTGACTGGGACTGTATGGTCAACAAACCTAAAATATTTACTGTCTGCGTCTTTAAGAAAAAGTTGCCAACCCCTGATCTAAAGTATTTTTTTAATGTAATTGTAGTCAAAATATACAAAATTTGAATCTATTTTCATTAAGAAGTGTCAGTTAAAGTGAACATGGATGGCTGTGCATGGCAGCTCACACCTATCATCTCAGCACGTTGGGAGGCTGAGGCAGGTGGATCACTTGAGGTCAGGAGTTCAAGACCAGCCTGATCAACATGGTGAAACCCCATCTCTATCAAAAATACAAAAATTAGCCAGGTGTGGTGGCATACACTTGTAATCCCTGCTACTCGGGAGTACCGAGGTAGGAGAATTGCTTGAACCTGGGAGGCAGAGGTTGCAGTGAGCTGAGATTGTGCCACTGCACTTTAGCCTGGGTGACAGAGTGAGACTCCATCTCAAAAAAAAAAAAAAAAAAAAAAAGTGAACATAGAAATTCAATAATTAAAATTATTTTTTGTATACATCTTCTAGAGAAGTTTTTTCCTAAAGAAGTTCAATAATTAAAATTATTTTTTGTATATATCTTCTAGAGAAGTCTTTTCCTAAAGAAGTCATAATTTAACAAATTAAAAGGTAAGATTCTTTTGTAGTTCACAAGCATGATGATTGCATGTTCACATGCATGTGTGAGATATCACCCTCATGAACCTTGGTACGATGTCAGCACGTTACCCATCTCACATAAAAAATTTTTTTTAAAAAGGTAAAATACTAATTCTAATTCATGCATATTAACATTACTTAAATAAAGCTAAATTTTATTTAACATGTTTAAATAAATCTTATTAAACATTTCTGTGAAAATAAAACTTGACCTTCTACCATTCAACATCTATGTGATTGCCAGTGTAAAGACTTCGTACCATTCTTCATGCAATTCTACTTAGACCTACATATTGTGGATTTCAGAGCAGTATGAGTTGTTGAATATGGCAACATGTTCTTCAGCTGCCAGATACAATTGCTATGAATGCCCTGTAATTGGTGAGGACCTTCAGAATAGTGGGCTAGAACTTGAGAAGAAGCAAGAAAATAGATGTTTGGGACAACTGGGAAATGCTACTTTGTTGGGTAGGAATGTTAAACCCATGATATCTGCTGGGAAAGAATTAACAAGCAACTTGTGTTTTTCCAGTATCTAAGCTCTTCTGCCATTCAAATCCTTCCTGCTTTCTGAGCAGCAACCACCTCCAATGTCCTCAGGCACAGAGACGCAAAATTTCCAGGCTCAGAGTGTTTCAAGGGCGGGGCAAGAGTTGTGAATGTGTGTATCCCTGGGCTTGCATGGTGTTGGTAAGAATGAATATTTGGGGTATGGATTGCACTGTGTCTGTGTTGAGGACCTGATCCCAGATGATAGAGACCACCTTTGTGTTTGTTAGGAAATATTTATGTGTGTGTGTGTGTGTGTGTGTGGCCATCTTAGTCTGTTTTGTGTTTCTATAACAGAATACCTGAGACTGGGTGATTGATAAAGAAAAGAATTTGTTTCTTACAGTTCTGGAGGCTTAGTGAGTCTGAGATGGAGGGGCTGTCCCAGGTGAGGGCATTTTTGGTGCATCCTAACATGGAAGGATGACGTGAGAGTGTGCGAGAAAGGCGACGGGGTGCCTCACCCCTTTCCTTATCAGGAACCCACTCCTGATAACTCAAGACCGTGACATTAGCCCATTCTGGAAGGCAGTGTCCTTCTGACCTAATCACCTCTTAAAGGCCCCATCTCTCAACACCACTGCGTTGGGGATTAAGTTTCCAATACATGAGCTTTGGGGAACACATTCAAACCATAGCTGTGTGTGTGTGTGTGTGTGTGTGTGTGTGTGTGTGACAGAGAGAGAGAGAGAGAGAGAGAGAGAGAGACATTCGAGTGAGGCCCTCTGAAGCAGGAGGCCCAGAGCAGAGTCTAAGGACAGACAGTACTAAAAAGGCTCTCTGGAAACTCCCCTCAAATGGCTTCTGCTTACATCACCTTGGCCTTAACTGTATCTTGTGGCTGCTGCTGGCTGCAGTGGAGCCTGGGCACACTGTCAACTCCTGGAAAACCAGGAAGCAGGGGAATCATGATCAGGTTGGCTGCGAGTAGTCTCCGCTACACTGCCCTCTCCTCCTATTCTCTCTCTGGCAGTGACCTTCTCCCAGCCTCCTTTCCCTTCTCCCAACATCTAGGTCCTCCCTGCCACGCCTCCAAGTCGAGCTGGGAGCCCCCATTTCCCTTATGTCACTGCCGGCCAGAGCTGCAATAGCCTGGATGAAGAGAGTGAGAGTAGGAAGTCCTAGGTGGCTCCTCAGTGCTCCCCAAGCCACACCTCCAGGAGCATGTCATTGTCCTTGAGCCCAGTGGTTGTCACAGCTAACTGGCATGAGCAGTGAGGTGGGGAGGGGAGAGAGACCAGATGCCACCTGCCTCACTGCTCCTCCTCCATGCATGCGTGGAAGGTCATTGTCGCCAACTGGTTGTAGACTGTCCTCTGAAGAGCTGCCAGAAGGGCTTACTGCATTCCTCATAGATCAGAGAGCAGCATTTTTCTCTGGGAAGGTGCAGGCCCCACCAGACCCTTCACCAGCTACAGGGATCCCCCTCTGGGTGGCTCAGTTAGTTTCCCTCCTGTCTTAGACCCTGTCCCTTTCAAAGGTAATATAATCAAGGAAAGCAGATTTTTGAGTGAATGGCTCAAGGCTGGAAAGGAGAGATATACTCTCTGAACATAATCAGTTACTGGAGATATTTCAGCAAGAAGTTGCCTTTTGTAGGCTCAGAAGCATGATAGAGTTTTTCAATATTTCACCTGAGGCTAGACCACAGTGATCCTCCCTCTCTCCTCTCTGCCCCTGGGACTTGGAGCGTCTGCTACCTGATCAAGCAGCAGGACTCAAGCAAGGTAAATAGTGACTGACGGCTTATCCCACAGGCTGGGGAAGAAGCGGGGCTCTCAGAGGAGCCTGGCATGGCGGGGGTGAGAGGAGGGCATCTGTGGGAGGTGGGCTGGGGGCAATGGTGTGTCTCTGTCCTGCTGAGGTAGGAGCTAGGCCACTCTTTTCCCTGTGACTTCCTCTTTTCTGGGACCTGCCGTCCTGGAGATGCACAGGCGGCCCTGGGGGAGTGGGGGTGGATGGTGGCCCTAGAAGTGAGTGTTCTTGTCCATGCAGGTGCATGATGCAGTTAACGCTTTTGTCTTCCTTGTGACTAGCCTCTGTTGACTGCATTTCTGGCTCTGAATTCCCAGGTGTGAGGGCCAGGAACCCTAAAAGGACACCACTCTGAAAATGCAAGTGCAGAGTAGCACCCCAAGCTGCTCTGCAAGCCAAACATGCTGCAGCAAAACAAGCAACAGGGCACCTGCCAGCCAGGGCCGGTCCGCACTCACCATGTCAGATCTACCAGGGCCGCTGATGAAGATCAGTCAGGCAGAGGGACAAGCCCAGAGGGCCCGTGGACCCACGGGCCTTGGGGTCGGGGAGAAATGAGCTGGATGGAAAGGCAAAGGCAGGGGAAGACTTTTTTTCTGTGCCTTCCTGGCTGCATCTCACACAAAGAGAAGCCAAAGAAAGTCTTGCTATTTCTGTAGGAAAATGGTGTGGCAGGTACATGTGTATGCAGGTGCGTGTATCTGGATAAGTCAGCATACACGACAAGTAGATTCATGCACACATGTGTGCATATGTACACATGGGAGTGCACAACTAATAAATCTATGACAAATGTCATGCAGGGTAGAGGACCCACATTATCCTTTTAATTCAAGAGTTCGTAGCTGGGGTCCATGAATGGGTGCCAGTGAATCCCCTGAGATTATATGCCACAATTTTTCATGTACATTTTTCTGGAAGTGAAGCCTTGATTTTCCTCAGACGCCCCAAGCCCCAAAATAATTTTTCTGCCTATTCTGTGATAGGCAGAATAATAGCTCTCCACATCCTAAACCTCAGAACCTGTGAATATGTTACATTCCACGGCAAAGGAGAATGGAGGCTGCAGATGGAATTAAGGTTGCTAATCCTCTGGTCTTGAGAAGGAGAGATTATTTTGGAGTATCTAGGGGGGCCCAGTGGAATCACAAGGTCCTTATAAGTAAAAGAGGAGAGTCAGAGTGAGGTGATGTGTGGGAGACTTGCCGCCACCGCTGGCTTTCAAGATGGGAGAGAACCCCAAGCCAAGGAGTGTGGGTGGTTCTAGGACCTGGAAAGGGCATGAAAATGGATTCACCCCTAGAGCCTCCAGAAAGGGACCCAGGCCTACTAATGAAACCGCCTTTGCAAAATTACGACTGAGACAGAGAAAGAGAGCTAACTTAATCAACTCCATCTTGTTTTTAACCTCCAAGCTGTCCTTGTTCTTTCCTGGGTGCAGGCTGAACTAACCTTGGGAGAAACTCAGTTTATGGTTTATAGTTTAAAACAAAGACCACAACAACCCTTTCCCAAAGCACATCTCTTCTTGCCTGGGGACTAGACTGCCTTTGTAGGACTAACGTTAGCCACAAGATTAGAAATTATGGTTTAGGAGTCACGCAACTGGAGGCTACAAGATTCTGACCCTCCCTAAACTGCTCCTAAGGTCAGTACTTGAGATACTTTGCAAATGCTGCACTTGATGGATAGGGGGGCACCACCCAGATCAATAAACTGGTTCACCTGATCTTGTGGCCCCCACCAGGGAACTGACTCAGTGCAAGAAGCCAGTTTTGACTCCTTATGATTTCATCTCTGACCAATCAGCACTCCTGGCTCACTGGCCTCCCCCAACCCACCAAATTGTCCTTAAAAACTCTGCTCCCCAAATGCTCGGGAGACTGATTTGAGTAATAATAAAACTCTGGTCTCCTGCACAGCTGGCTCTGCGTGAATTACTTGTTCTCTATTGCAATTTCCCTGTCTTGAGAAATGGGCTCTGTCTAGGCAGTGGGCAAGGTGAACCCTTTGGGCCATTACACTGACACCTATATTTTAGCTCCATGAGACACATTTTGGACATCTGACTCCAGAGCTGTAAGATAAGAAATCTGTGTTGTTTTAAGTTCCTCTTGCTAGAATAGGTAGTTAGGCAGACATGAGCAGGGCGGGAGAGGCTCCACACACCCACCAGGAATGTCAGGTGATGATCAGGTGACGGCCAGCTGGTTGTTTCACTGTCTCTCTCAAATAATAATTGGTTGTAGCTGGTGCCAGGCAAAGGCAAGCTTCCAATAGATAGAAAACACCTGAAGCTGGTAATCAGTCACTTCCCAATAAGATCGGGCAAGTGGCCAGGTGCGGTGCTCATGCCTGTAATCCCAGCACTTTGGCAGGCTGAGGTAGGTGGATCACCTGAGGTCAGGAGTTTGAGACCAGCATGACCAACAAGGAGAAACCCCCGTCTCTACTAAAAATACAAAAATTAGCTGGGTGTAGTGGCAGGCGCCTGTAGTCACAGCTAGTCAGGAGGCTGAGACAGGAGAATTGCTTGAACCCAGGAGGCGGAGGTTTCAGTGAGCCGAGATCGCGCCACTGCATCTCAGCCTGGGCAACGGAGCAAGACTCCGTCTCAAAAAAAAAAAAAAAAAAGGATGCGGCAAGTGGCTCAAGCATGTACACTAAGAGGTAAAATGGCAGAGTTTAACTGGCATGGGACCTTCCTCTGAGAACTCTCAACTGGTAAGGGAAAAACACCTCGAGCGAGCATGCGTACAATTTTAGTAACCACACTGTGCATACGGCCCCTCCCAAGTGCTGGCAGGCCACTATGCGTGCGGACGGCCTGCACCAAGGAAAATGAAGGAAGGAGAGATACAACCCCCGGGAAGCATGACAACGTATAAACAAGGTCAGAGATCAAAGGTCAGGCAGCCCACTTGGATTCCTCAAGTCACCAAATTGGTTCTCTTCCAAGTGTACTTTACTTCCTTTTGTTCCTGCTCTAAAACATTTTTGTTTGTTTTTTAAGAGATCTCGCTATGTTGACCACACTGGTACTCCTGGCCTCAAGCGAACCCCCCATCTCAGCCTCCCAAAGTGCTGAGATTAGAGGAGTGAGCCACCACACCTGGCCTTCTGCTCTAAAACTTTTTAATAAACTCACTCCTGCTCAAAAACTTGCCTCCATCTCTCACTCAGCCTTATGCCCCTTGGACAAATTCTTTCCTCGGAGGAGGCTAAGAATCTGTAGTTGCTGCAGACTCATACAGACTCCAGGCTGTTCACACTCTGTGACAAGCTGTTGCAGCAGCCATAGGAAGCTAATCTGAGGACCATTTCTTTCCTTGTCATGCTTATAATGGGCAAATAAAAGGACCCACACTGGGCTCAACCACCTCCCACATTCTGGGCCCTGTGCTGGCTCCTCTACCTGCATGACTCCAGCAGGTAAGAATTGCTCTTCCCCTCTGAGCAGTAAGGAAACTGAATCTCAGATAGAGTAAGTGGCTTTTGTAAAC